AACCTTTAAGCGACGCTCCAAATTAAACGGTGCGCGGCACAGGTGCCAAATTCACAGGTCACATGTCCCGGTGTTTGACCATTAACATATGGTATGCTCGGCAGCAGGGGGTGCGGAATGCACGCGCCAGGGGCGAAAAACTTGTTTTGAGGATGCATCCTCCGATTCCGGAAAACTTTGACCTAGGCACACCAAATTTGGCACACTGACACTACTGGACGAGCGCTTTAAGGCGCTGTGCAAATAGATGTGCTGGGGTACACGGTGCACGTGCTGTGCACGTGCAAACCTTTTGATGTTGCACTCTGTGTCACACATGCGGGCAGAGCGGGTAGCGCTAGCAAGCTAAAAGTGTCAAATTTACACAGGCCACCCAGAATGCATTCCAGCATAGTTATTGAGCATATCTATCTCCTGGTGGACCCCAAAGGTGCGCTCTGCTCGTGCAAAAAATTATCCGCGCCGGGCGGTGGGGATGCTTGGACACCCCATGTAGGTTTATGTAAATATCTCGAAAACGGCGTTGTGGAGCGACGCCGTTTTTAGCACACCCTTTCATGAATCTTTTTCACACATGCTGCAGACCTTTCAGACCCAGGTCACTCAAGGTTAGGTCCTCCCCGTTCCGCCACCTATGGTCGATGATGACAACAACAACGTTCATCGGTCCCCCTGGTCGGCTCACCATTTAGGTGCTGATCCATTTGAAAATGGGAGATGATATCACTTTTGCCTACTCCAGTAGGTACCCATCACCCTCACGTGAGGCAAAGGACACAAAACATAGACGAGCGGTGTCGCCTGAAGTTCGTTATGTGCTGGTGATAGCTTGGAAGTACTACGGTTTGATAAACAAATCACCAATTATCTCAAAGCAAGAATTGAGAGTTACCGCAGATTGTTTGATACGGTCTTTAAAACGGCAAACCATTTCTTTTGTCAAATTCGGGCTCCAAAACTTTTACATAGTTACCCAGCAACGCAAATTTACGCTACCATCGCCCGGTAGCGCAGCATAGGCCATAGGCATCTTTGTTTGCACGTTGTTTGCGCCTGTAGTGATACTGTACCGCAATAACCATTATCTTCATCTTTCACCCATAGATGGCAGTGGCAGAGCGCCTGCATCTATGCTGTACCGCAGTGCTTTTACAATACGAACTGAGCATTGAGCAAGCGCGGTGTAATACGATTATGTGGTGGCCTGGACCGGTGACCGCGGCCAAGAAGAAATGGATCTAACTTGACTGAGTAGCGGTAAATCAGCATCTGATATTAAGTTATTATTACGAGACCATGTTTGGCCGGAATCGTGATTCGGCGTACGTCGGCGCGCACTAGCCGCAGCCGCGCGTTTGCTGTCTTTTCGTGGTTTCAAGCGTTCAAACATGTGATATGATGTTGGTCACATGCAATATGGTGGGTGTCAAGGTCAGGTGAAAATTAGGTCAAGGTCACTGACCTTTAATGACCTTGGTTCACCTTTTCGAGTTTTACATGTTTCTAGGACAGTTTTTGGAGCTGATTTCGAATTTAGCATTCAGTTTAACATTTAAGAAGTTATAGTTTTAGTACCTTCGTAACATGTTACGACGCCATCAGTGGTGGTTGACACCTACTATGGATAAGCTGCTTTACTATGGATAATTGATACTTTACTACGGATAAGATACTTTACGTATACCTATATGGTGCTCTTAGTAATCGCCGCCAACGTTTTAGACCGATTGTTCAGTCTGTGTAGCTATGACGGGCATTATAACTTTTCCTAAGGTAAGGCCACTTGGACGTAACCTGGTGACCTAATCTTGAGTGACCTGGGTCTGAAAGTTATGCAGCATGTGTGAAAAAGATGCATGAAAGGGTGTGCTAAAAACGGCGGCGCTCCACAACGCCGTTTTCGAGATATTTACATAAACCTACATGGGGTGTCCAAGCATCCCCACCGCCCGGCGCGGATAATTTTTTTGCACGTGCAGAGCGCACCTTTGGGGTCCACCAGGAGACAGATATGCTCAATAACTATGCTGGAATGCATTCTGAGTGGCCTGTGCAAATTTGGCACTTTGAGCTTGCCAGCGCTACCCGCCCTACCCGCATGTGTGACACAGAGTGCAACATCAAAAGGTTTGCACGTGCACAGCACGTGCACCGTGTACCCAAGCACGCCTATTTGTACAGCACCTTAAAGCGCGTGTCCAGTAGTGTCAGTGTGCCAAATTTGGTGTGCCTAGGTCAAGGTTTTCCGGAATCGGAGGATGCATCCTCAAAACATGTTTTTCGCCCCTGGCGCGTGCATTCCGCACCCCCTGCTGCCGAGCATACCATATGTTAACCCGCGCCCCGTAGGGCTACCGGCGGACCCTACCACCCGTAGGGGGGGGGGCGTTTCGGCCCCCCCCCCCTAAGATCTCGGAAAGTTACCGGCCGATTTTCAATATTCAAACGACGTTCGATAGCCCCACCCGGGAACTACCTTGTGACCAAATTTCATTGACCTAGGTCAAACCGATGACGTCACAGGTCAGGTCAAAGGTCAGATTTTTACCGTTCACAGGCATTTCAAGAAATGTGTTGTGAAATCGAGTAAATTGGTAATTTATTGAAAACCATCGATGGTACATTGTTCGTCAAACACATACTTTGCTATCTGAGGTCACTGATACCAGGTCAGGTCACAGCGAGGTCAGGTCACCAGGAGTCACATTATGAAAGTGTCGTGTGATACATGTCTTATGGTCCATTTTACGACAAATGCGATTATGTGGGTCAGGCAGCCTTTGGGGCCAGCCTAGGTCACGTTTTGGTGAAGGTCAGGTCAAGGTCAGGTCATGTTAGGTCAAATTTCAAAGTTGATATTTTTGCCTAAAATGGGTATTGATTCGATGCAGCTCGTCACGGAGAGTCCGATGGTGGTCTTTGTTTTGCTCTACGTGGTCTAGAATTGCCAAAAATTGAGTTTGAAAATTTGACGTCATCATTTTTGAACAGTTTTTTCGCTATAACTTGGCCAAAAAACGATGTATCGATCTGAAATTTGGTATGTAGATAGAAGACGGTTAGTACTATCACATATATTCCGGGTTTTTTTGAAACTCAAAAAACTTTTTGGATTTTTAGGCTAATATATCCAAAAAAATGCTTTTTTGATTTTTGGGGGTCAAAACTACAAAAATTTCAAAAATCCGAGATAGCAGTTTTGTAGCCCTGTTAATTCTACACCTTTTATGTCTTGATCATTTTTCTGTATCTTCAAAGCTGTAGGCCTGACAGGTCTTCTCGCGAAGGTCTTTTTTCGGTCGAAAATGACAGAACATGACGTCATTCTGACGTCATTTGTGGCCAACCTATCATAGTCTCTGGAGAAAATTTTAGTCACAATGTGTAAAATTGATGCCCGGAAGGGTCCTGAAAGTTTGGTGGCGATATCTACAGCCGTTTAGGAGATATCGACCGAAAAGGACAAGGGGGGGCCGTTTCGGCCCCCCCTACGGGGCGCGGGTTAATGGTCAAACACCGGGACATGTGACCTGTGAATTTGGCACCTGTGCCGCGCACCGTTTAATTTGGAGCGTCGCTTAAAGGTTTTTGCCCTTCCCGACTTTGTCGGCACGTGGCACGCGCCACGTGACACCGAATGACCTGTAACATGCATCATCACCTGCCTCAAGGCAATACCCATCGAACGGTACCACCAGCATCTCGATCCGATCATCTGTTTAGATGCAATTCCAATTGTAATGGTTCGATGACCTTTCAGAGCACGGTTTTTTGGCAACGTAAGATGGCGCCTTGTCGGCTTCACCTGAATGGAGGTGGTTGCGGGTCCAGTTTAATTATACGTCCGTGCATTTTTGAACTTGTAATTTTATTAGGAAAGTATTAGAGGTTGTTTGCTATTCTAACTAAATCGAAATTGTGTTGCACATACTAATAGCTCATACGAACATTCTGGATTGGGGTTTCATACCTGGCAGAAGTGGATTGCTGGATTATTTTTAACAAAACTGACCTATTTGGCTTCCAGATTTGATTTCCTAACATCTGTCCATAGGCGGCGGAACAGGGGGGGGGGGCACCAGGGTACAGTGCCCCCCATAGATTTTGGCATTTTAACATTAGCCCTATGGCATTGCATGGAAAGAATGAGACCAAAATGAAAATCTGCAGTGCCCTGCTGCCACTGCATCTGTCTGTGCTGTTTGTCCATTGAATTAAAGTGGCTGTAGCTTGTTGATAAAATTGTCATCAGTGCTGTCATGAAAAAGTTACAATTGGTCACAAAAGTAGCAATGTGCATGTTCTTGGTTTATTTTAAATGTAGTACAAATGTTGTTGATTTAAATTCAAATTTAATGCTGATACCTAATGATTACAACTGGTCTTAACCATGTCCACAAGTGACAATTCTCAATTGTATTGCACTGTAAGGTGTACAATTATGTAGGATAAGGGTTTCATTGGCTACATGTTGTCGTGAGATCCATACAGATCATAGCTCCTCCACAAATTTTTGCCCGCTGGATCCACAGAGATCATAGATCCGACCCCTTAATTTTGTCGAGAGATCCATTCGGATCATAGATCCAACCCCTGAATTTTGTCGAGAGATCCACTCGGATCATGGATCCAACCCCTCTATTTTGTCGAGAGATCCACTGAGATCATAGATCCAGCTCTCGGATCCGGGATCCATGCACATGTCTGGTACCCGTCCCCGGAGATTATAAGCAGCACAACGAGAGGCAACAGACGGTATGCGAAAGCCAATAAAAGGTCTATCGAAAGTCCTTCGGTAACGGGTAATTTTTCGGTAGGGTAAAACATAAAGCACCAGATGTCATCAAATGTAAAGCTTTGCGACTTTTCGACTGAGCACAACAATACGTGACTCGCGATGCAGTACTTGGTGACCCATGTGGGAACTCGTGCCACTGGACACGCGGACAGACAGGTCTGATTTTCCTGAGCGCGCGCCTCCCCTGACCGCGCTCCCTTACCGGAGGGCTGCAGTTTGGAGACTCGCGTACCGCAGCGGTACTCTGTGGTGCGCCGCTGCCGACAGACCGTCCAGGCCCCAAAGTGGCCGCTCTCGTCGCCTGAAACACAAGAGACAGTCGACAGAGGTATGTCAGTAAGAGTAAGAGCACACCTGTCAGCAGTCAATCCAAATGAAGTCATTGGACTTATGGGTTGCCGGTTGGCCGAAATCTCCACTCCCCATCTACCGTGACCCGAGTCCCGATCTTCATCATTGTTACTTGGAGTGTCCGGTGTGTAGATCATATAACATCCGGAGCCCGACCAGCGCTATCCTATAACATTCGGAGCCCGACCAGCGCTATCCTATAACATCCGGAGCCCGACCAGCGCTGACCACTTTTCAAATAACCCCGGTAATTATAGTTACATGAGCACCTGCATATACCGTGAGCACCTGCACCACAAAGGAAGCCGCATGAATTGTTGCATTCCTGCGCGTAGCTTCAGTCATTCTCGTAGTAATGATGGCCAATTGAACACCGTATTCCGCCGTTTCCAAACACACATCTTCACATCTGATCCAACTCTCCCAACGATTCGCCAGATACAATTTGTCGGACACATGTATCAGTGTTTTGTTTTCAGCACGGTTTATACGGCAGTGTATGAAGGTCGATCTGTCCTAGTGGGTAGCAGGTTTCGGTCAGTCTGTCCCAGTACAGTAGTGGCGGAACACCTTCAATTAAGGGAGGGGGGGGGGGCACTGCCGACTTTTGGTCCCATTCTTTCCATGCAACGCACCCATAGGGCTAATGTTAAAATGCCAAAATCAAAGGGGGGCACGGTGCCCCGGTGCCCTCCCCGTTCCGCCGCCTATGTCCCAGTAGGTAGCAGGTGACGGTCGGTCCGTCCCAGTGGGTAGCAGTGGTGGTCTGTTTATACAAAGTGACGGTCGGTCTGTCCCAGGGGCAGCAGGGTATAGGTACGGTCGGTCTGTCCCAGGGGCAGCAGGGTATAGTGACGGTCGGTCTGTCCCAGGGGCAGCAGGGTATAGGTATAGGTCGGTCTGTCCCAGGGGCAGCAGGGTATTGGTACGGTCGGTCTGTCCCAGGGGCAGCAGGGTATAGGTATACGGTCGGTCTGTCCCAGGGGCAGCAGGGTATAGGTACGGTCGGTCTGTCCCAGGGGCAGCAGGGTATAGGTATACGGTCGGTCTGTCCCAGGGGCAGCAGGGTATAGGTATAGGTCGGTCTGTCCCAGGGGCAGCAGGGTATAGGTACGGTCGGTCTGTCCCAGGGGCAGCAGGGTATAGGTACGGTCGGTCTGTCCCAGGGGCAGCAGGGTATAGGTACGGTCGGTCTGTCCCAGGGGCAGCAGGGTACCTATAGGTATACGGTCGGTCTGTCCCAGGGGCAGCAGGGTATAGGTACGGTCGGTCTGTCCCAGGTAGCAGGGTATAGGTATACGGTCGGTCTGGCCGCTCCGGACGCCGGGGGTGCCGATTGATCAGCGGTGCGGGACGGAGGACAGGGAGACAGGTGGATTGTAGACAGGTGCAGCCGCTCCCCGCCCCCGCACCGGGAAAAGGGGCGGCGGCGGCCAGCCGGCGTGGTTTGCCGCTCGGCTGGCGCAGGTAGCGGGACGTTCGGGACGCTCCCGGCCACGGGCCAGGTAAAGCGGCACGCCGCCAGCTCACTAAGCCTAAGGGCTGGAGACTGGAGTATAAAGCTTTTGGCATTGTTCGTGCTTATATGTTCAGTTGATAAAACTCTTTGAACCGGTTTGCATATATTGGCGGTGGCGGCATCAGGCGTCCCAGTAAAATGTTGAGCGTGAACAAAAAGAAAAAGAATGCTTTGCCCTTCGTCTCCGGTAGCACCATAATGAAACTCTCACTGGCCAAGGTGTCATCAGCACTAGCTGCATAGCTCTCGCAGCTCACAATGCATGCATAAATTTCGGCGGCGCCTGGGTACAGCCGCGCCGCTGTCGATATTAAACAGCAGCGTGACGCGCGGCCAATCTCGGTCGCCGGGAGCAGCTGGGGCTCGGGGAGCACGCTGTTCATCAGGCCGGCCTGTCACGGCCCCCAGATAAGGTCGTTGGGAGCACATCGCGGCCGTTGTGGCCGACCAATTGGGCTGTCCGCTTAATGACCGCCGTCCGTACAAATCACGGCGCACTGTCGAGCCGATGGGCCGGCCGGGCGTTATGAGAGCTGGTGGCGGCGACCACTGTCAACACTGCCGAGATTGCAGCGGTGACGGTGGTCCCCTGGTGGTCCCAGTCGGGGACACCCCGCCGCGCGGGGACAGCTGGTGGGTTACCGGGGCTCTCATCATTATATCCCGGTACCATACTGCCGGCTGATGACAAGAGAAGGTCGCTCATCTCCATTTTCGGCCCAACTCCATTACCGCTTAGGTATATGTAAAAGTGGTGTTCTTTTGGAGTCCCATCCTAATCTCTTTTTTTAATCCCATCAAACATCAGTGTCTACAAGTAAAAATAAAAATAGCAGGCAGAACAGGAACAACCTACAAAAGTTTTTACACTTACTTTCGTCCTGAAAATCATACCTACTTTGTTCGTAATGTCCTTGTTTTTCGGTGGGCTGACGAAAGAAAAGCGAAAAACAGAGTCATCAAATGAGGCTTATGGAAATGTTCAGCCTGCTTCTGTTTTCTTGGCAAAAGAAAATATATTTTGTTACAGCAATGCGTAGCTCAATACGATGGTGAGATTGATGAAAACATGAAGTAGTATTGTTGAAAACTGTTACTTATAATTGAGCCAGCCCAAGGCTCTATATGGTTATATAACGCCATGGGCTGGCTGCAGCGGCAGCTATCGGCCCGGCGCCCGCTCGGCTGGGCGGCCGTCACTGGGAGGGCTGAGACCAGCTGGGGACCGTGATATGGCACCTTATACCTACCTATCACTGGACGCCGACAGCCGCCGCCGCGCCACCAGGGAGCTGCGCCACAACTGTCCCACTCGCGCCGGTAATTGCCAATTACCCACGCCAATATTCAAAGGCAACACAAGGTCCGGCTTATTTGCTGAGCAACGGCTGGGACGTGTACGCCACTAACAGGTTTATTTGATCCATAGAAAGGTGGAGATAAGATATATGTGTGCACATAGGTACAGGGTACAAGAAGAAAAGAAATCATATAGATGTGGGCAATATGCATTAGAATTGACGCACATCGCCAGAGATAGCATACCTATAGTTTACGCAGATCAATACAAAGGTACACATAGTTGGAATAATGTTGCGTTATTTATCACCGTGCTATAATCTAACGTTATTCGTCAACTAGAGAAATAACTAGGCTGTACGCTTCTAATATGAAGCTGCCCTCCACTGGTTGCCCAAGATCACGTCCAAACTGGCGCTAGTTGCAGGGGAAGAAAATCCAATTCATAACAGTAAATGCTGGTTTATATTCCTCTCAGGTGGCTGTTGCCGACAGAACAATGGTCCTGTCTGCAGCGCCACCGGGTGCATATGTAACAAATATTGACCGCGGTGTGTCGGCGGAGCTGTCGTCGGTGCCGGCGCGGCGGCGGCGTCCCCCGGGGCCTGGGAAGGGCCACCTGTTGGCGCGCGGCCGGCGAGGCACTCCCTGTGTACGCAGCAGTGTGGTGTGGGCCGACCATCGATTGTTGCCACCGCAGCCCGGCCCGGTATACGTCGCGGGACCGTGATAAGATAGCGCCGACACGGCCCCGATGTGTTATCGCGGTCTGATAGGTGCACGGGGCCGCGGCCAGCACGGCTGACCGAGGTCGGCCGGAGGGCCGGAGCAGGCGAGAATGATAACTGGGACTGGCGACAAGACGGAGAGGGGGTACCGGAAAGGGGCCCGTCAGTGGACACCAGAGAGGCCGGGTCAGCGGGGTCACCAGGGGCCGGGTCGGCGGGTCACCAGGGGACGGTTCAGCGCGGGGTCACAGGGGCCGGGTCGGCGGGGTCCCCAGGACTGGAGTTGGGCCAGTGGTCGGTCACGAGGGGCCGGTCAGCGGGGTCACCAGGGGCCGGGTCGGCGGGGTCCCTGCAGGACTGGAGTTGGGTCAGTGGTCACCAGGGCCCTGTTTCACCGGTGATAGCAGCACGCTGCTATTACATGTGTCAAATTGGGTTTCCATGGAGACGTCAACAAACCTTTTCCTCCAACACTACACACATCCCATAGTGGATGAAATAAGATCATTTATTAATACCAATAATCATAACATCAAATTTCTTTGGATTCCCGGTCATAGCGGGATAAGTGGAAATGATCGAGCTGACCTGGCAGCCAAACAAAGCTTGAATGACCCCCCTCAAAATCAAATTAGCTGCCCAGTCAATGATTACCTTAACGCAATAGCATTAGCCTCTAAAAAATCTTTCCAACTTGATTGGAACGTAAACCCACATTTTCACCTTTACCCTATTAAGCAAGAGGTGGGACATTGGCACTCCTCTAGTCAGGATACTAGAATTAAGGAAATCATACTTGCACACCAAAATTACGCATAATTACAATATAGAAGAAACGACTCCTCCAAACTGTCACTATTGCGGGGATGACGTCAGATATAATATAAAACATTTTCTTATAAGCTGCCCACAATACCTATCAACGTTTTAGACAACCATTGATTGATTACACGCAAAGACAGAATAACTTTCAACATCGAAAATATACTAGGAGATACCTATCCAGATTTGCTAGAACTGCTTTTTAACTTTTTGCACAACACAAAACTAGAAAACTCCATTTAACACAAGGTTTGACGGAGCCCGGGACATATCCTGGGGTCCCAACAGGGTCTCGCCCGGTTCTCGACAGGGATCCCATTTAATGGTTGAGGCCCACTCGAGACACAGGATTGGTCGGTCCTAAACCGGCTGGTTATTAAGCCTTTCAGGGGGGGGGGGGAACCTGTTCGGCCAGCTGCCGCCGGGCGTTAAGGGCTCCCCTATGGACAACCCTGGTGCCGGGGGGATGTGGCTCCCCTCCCTCGCCACTGGGGCACGACAAGGCCTGACCGGGCTTACTGAACGCGACTTCCCGACGTTACCAAGTTCTAACGTGACAACCACTGAGTCGCAGCGTCAGCT